ACAGTGCAAGCGGGAGACGGGCAGAGAGACATGAAGATGTGGAGGTCGATCCCACGAACCATGAGATCACGACCTGAGCCGAAATCAAGAGTTAGACACTGAACCAACTGACCCACCCCAGCTCCCCTAAATTCACTCATTTTAAAATTAGGGACCTGTGTGCCTAACTAAAAGCATGAGTAATATACCACCAGCAGCTAAATACCTGAATTTTGAGAAGAGAAGAAAAGCAGAATGGGAAGGAGAGGACACATGTCAGGGCTGCGGAGAAGGGCCAGGAAAGGCAGGTGGGGCACGGACAGAGAAGAGGCTCAGAGGCCGAGGAGAGACTGCTGGGGAGGCGCAGGGCCGATGAGCGCCTCCAGCCCCTGACAGCCAGAGCGCCGTGGCCCCGGATTCGAGGACACAACGATGAGGAAGGCTCAGGGCGGGTGGTGGGCGGTGGGCAGAGGGCAGAGGCCCACCGCAGCGGGGCACCTCACCTCCTTCCACGCGCTTTCTCAGCAAAGGGGGCAAACCACATAACGAGGAAAGAGAAGGGAAAGAAAAGAAAAGCTAAAATAGGGTCCACGTGGGTGAAATCCATGAGCATTTCCTGCCACCACAGCCACGAGGTCTTGGAGAAAGAGAGAGAGAGAGAGAGACAGCACTCACCGCTGTTGCAAAATGGTGAATAACAGCAACGGAGATGCAGGCATCACAGGCCCCGCCGCGGATGGGCACAGCCAGCGCGTCGCAGACGAAGGCCTGGAAGTGCCGCTCTCGACAGATGTCCACGAGGCTCTGGCTCCGATCACAACCGATCTGTAACAGGCAGAAGCGACGAATCTCACAACCCCTTGTTTAAACGTCATGGGAAATTAAGAGCACTGGGCTTCTTCATTACCATAAAGTGAGGGCGCAGACCTCGTATGCACCGTGAAGCGGGTAAATCCAGGGTTTACCAGTTCTTACAGCCGGCACAAAGTCAGATTGCGTCGTTTAGGGGGCAGCTTTTATTATCTTACCAGGTACCAGACTGAGCTCAAAGTAGCGAACGGAAAGAAAACGACTAGTATAAAGATGGCAGCAGTGGAAATGGAAAGGCCTAATTGCCCTCTAATCGATCACCAACCTAGATCCTTATGTGAGATCGCATGTATAAAAACGAAAACTATTCTGTAAACGCAGACATTCGGTCCTTTGTAGGGACCTACAGATGTCCCTCATCACTACACCAACGATACTGTGCTGGCCCAGATAGCAAGAGGGTGGCTGGGATTTGTGCCTGCTTCTTTTTACTTTTCAGTACATGTTACTGTACAATCAGAAAATAAAACCCCAAAACAACAAAAAAGTAAAATAACTTATTTCATTTTTTAAAGCTATTGAGTCTTGTTCTGCTAAACACCTAACCCATATAAATCAGGAATGAAGTGCTGAATTCAAAATCTGTCAAGTGCTATCTAATTACACCTTGCAGTCTAAGCGAACCGTCCCTAGGGAAAGGCAGCATGAAGGCAGCTCGCAGCCTCCCTTCATGTCCCTGAGCAGGGACCTCACGTGCCTTTCTGCCTGTGTCTGCTTCTGCGGGAAGCATCTGGGCACCGCGGCAGCCTCTCTCCTCTCTACTTTGGTTGTTACTGTTGTGTTCAGTTTTGCTGTTTGATTCTGAGGGCACCATGTGTGTGCACACATGTGTGTGCGTGTGTGCGTGTGTGCGTGTGGAGGGGAGGGAGAGAGCATGTACGCAGTGTGCACACGTGAAATGAGGGAGGACAGGGAAGGTGGGCAGGGCATCAGAAAGGTTAAACCACTAATTAATAATTATCCCCAGACAGTTCTTTACTCACTCTCTACAAAACAGAAAAAGAGATGTGAAAGCAGGTTTCATCAGATAGCAGTGGCCACCTCGACCTTGTGTTTACTCATCTGAATTTCTGATGCAGTGAGCACTGATTGTTAGGGTTCCCTTGGTCTATGTGAGAATAAGGAGCATGAGTCCTCATGTCAAAACAACTCTTTTTTTTAAGTTTTTTTTTTTTAATGTTTTTTCTTATTTATTTTTGAGACAGAGACAGACAGAGCATGAACGGGCGGAGGGCCAGAGAGAGAGGGAGACACAGAATCCAAAGCAGGCTCCAGACTCTGAGGTGTCAGCACAGAGCCAGATGTGGGGCTCAAACTCATGGACTGCAAGATCATGACCTGAGCTGAAGTTGCATGCTTAACCGACTGAGCCACCCAGGTGCCCCTCAAAACAACTCTTATTAAGTTAATGGACACTGCCAGGCTACTCATAATATGAATTTGCTCAATTTCTAATTGGTATTAAACAGCTTCTATATTCTATCCCAGAGCTGCATTTATTTTTGAAGCATAATAAAAGGTACCACACTAGAGGTAAAATATAGCAATTTCCCTTTGATATATTTTAAGACAAAAAAGTCCCAGGGTACCTGCGTGGCTCTGTAAGTAGAGCAACTGACTCTTAGTTTGGGCTCAGGTCACGATCACATGGTTCGTGGATTCGAGCCCCACATCAGGCTCTGTGCTGACAGTGTGGAGCCTGCATGGGATTCTCTCTCTCCCTCTCTCTCTCTGCCCCCCAACCTGTACTCACTTGCTCTCTTTTTCTCTCTCTGCCTCTCTATCTCTCTCTCAAAATGAATTAAAAAAAAAAAATGAAAAAGTACCAAGGGCCCATTAATAACAGGGGCCCAATTCCCAAATGATTGCTGTCTTTAACTATGTAAGATACGTTAAGTGCTTTATTATTCCTTGTATTTATTTTCACCCATATTCTATACCACTGAGCTAGCAGTGACAACATCAAGATGACAACACCACTGAAGTAATATGCATAGTACATTCTAGAGTTTGCCACTGTTTTTATAATAAAATTCAGTTCACGGAATCAGAAGTTTCAAGTATGTCCAACCCTGACAGATTGCTATAAATCTAGCTGAGAGTCGACAGGAAAAAAGTACAACTTTACTACAGAACAAATACCAGGAGATAGAGCTCAACATGGAAAGAAAGTTATTACCCAAGAACCATAGATAAAGCAGAACACGGAGAAGAGCAGCCAAATAAAACAAGAGGAAATGTCCCTCTTCCCGCTGCCAGGCTGCTACCGTTACCTGTACAAAGTGCCCCTGTGTGGCAGTGTGAGGGATGGGACAGTCTCAGTCACAAAGCATTAGGTGTAGCGTAAATGTGATTCGTGCCTGGCTCAGAACTTTCATCCTGCGCTTAACTGGCCTGAGTCTTTCATATACTACAGCCAAGTCATCACTATCTTTTTCTCTTTTCTCTTTTTAAATTTCCTTAAGTTTTTATACCAAGGATAGTACCCAGTACTTGAAATTCTCCTTAATGATGTTGCATAATGTCAACAATATGACAGAAAATGGCCTAATTATAAATACTAGCATTCATTAAAAGACTCACGTAAAGCTCTGTTAATTCTGTATGGCAGATGGAGATCAATGACATAAAAACACATACAGGTTGGACTTAAAATGTGTGCTTATACTCCTCTATACTTAAAAAAAAATTTTTTTCCCTTATGTTTTTTTAAGTGGTCTCCACGCCCAGAGTGGCGCCCTAACACAAGGCTTGAACCCACGACCCTGAGATCAAGATGTGAGCTGAGATCCAGTCAGACACTTAACCAACCGAGCCACCTAGTGCCTGAACTTGTTTATAATTTTTAAAATCTCCAACAAAACGTTAAACATGCAATTCTGGAAGGGCTGGTAAAAAAAAAAAAGAAAAAGTATTCAAACTAGTAATCAAAGGGGCAAACTAGAAAACAAGATCTCGTTTTTCTCCCTCGAAGGTATCAAAAATATTTTAAAACCACAGTACACCATGGTGACGGCAGTAACAAAACTTGCTCTCAAAAGTGCTAGTGATGTTACAAATGGACTCCACCCATTTTCAAAAGCAGTTTGGCACACCGCTTTTCAAGGAAGATAAAAATGTTCACAACTTTTGACCCAATAATTGTTCTTCTAAAAATTCATCCTAAAAAAAGAAATAATCCAACATATGGAAAAAGCTAAACAGGATTTAAAAAAGGGGGGGGCCTTTTACTGGGGCACCCGCTAAATCTTACAGCAGATTCTCTGTGCTAATGTACCCACCGCGAAGATACACCCTGAGTCAGGTACTGTTACTACACTGCAGATGAGGAAACCTCCTCTCAAAGCATGTAGGTAGTTTGGCTCAAGTAAGATAGTTAAGCGGCAGAGGAGAGATTTAAACCTGGGCGTCTCTCACTCCAAAAAGCCGCGTTCTTCCTCCTTGTCACAGTATTTCTCAGGGTAGATTCTCATTACTGTGTTATTTATAACAACTTCACACTGAACATGAGGAACCATCAAGTAACACAAAGAGCATCATAAAGTCCGGGAACCATGTAAGGCCACACAGCAAAATGGAAATATGAAGCAATACAAATGAGTTATTGAGCTGTACTCATACTCATGACGATATAAACATTACAGGAAAACACTGGAACGATCTTTCTCACAACAAACTGGTTTATTAGGGTGTTAAGATTATAGGTAAACACCTTTCCTTCCATCTTCGGAACTGCAGCTACATTATTTTTATTGCTTAGAAAACACAACATTTTTAAAACTACTAAGAAAACAAGCAATTACAGGGAGATCAGATGGGCAGTACACAGTTGAGAGAGCCGGGGAAGAGTCAAAGTCAGTCCAGTACAGTGAAAACAGCACTCGGAACTCGCGAGCTGAAGTCTGGCTCCAGCAGTAACTAGGCGAACAACCTAGGAAAGCCATATGGTATCTCAGAGTTTCTGTTTCCTCATCATAAAAATGCCTACTTCTCAAGGTTCATATGAGAATCAAACAAAATGATGTAAACTAAATATTTCACTAACCACAGCAGGGCTATGCAAATGCTATCATTATTATTATATAGAACAAAGAGTGGACAAAAACTCGCATCCCAGAGTCTAGATACAAAGAGAGATCCTTGTATCCTCAAGGTACATTACTCTGGAGGAAGGCCCACCCACTTTCATGTTGTCGCATTTCCTCCAAGATCACACAACACGGCATTGTGTATACTCTGCTTTCCATGTAAGAAATTGAGGGTGAATTCACAGGTTTGCTCCTCACCATTCAACAAACCATTAATAAGCTTCTATCACGTGCCAAGTAGGTGGACAACAAAACAGACACGATTTCAGGGCACCTGGGTAGCTCAGTCGTTAAATGACTGACTCTTTTGATTTGGGCTCAGGTCACGATCTCATGGTTCGTGGGACTGAGTCCCACGTTGGGCTCTGCACTGAAGGCACGGAGCCTGGTTGGGATTCCCTCTCTCCCTCTGTCTCTCCGCCCCCTCCCCCCCCACATAAATATTTTTTTTTTTTTTAATTTTCTAAATCTCTCTTAGCAGAATGCCACAGAGTACAGACTGTGCAGCTGGACATGAGGCTCCAACACTTGTCCTGACACCATGTAACCATGAGCCTGTCATAGCCTGACTGAGCATTCGGTTTCCCATTTGTAAAATGGAGGGAGTAATGCCAGTCTCCCACATTGTGTGAGAACACACAGCACAGCACTAAGCTCACGGGAGGAACCTGTCAATGTTAATATCCCTTCTGTTCTTTCCTTTATTGGCATAGTCGACAGTTAAAACACAAAACCAAACCAAACCAGAAACGTGCAGAAGAGGTTTATATAAACATATCTCCAATTCTTCTAATTATAAATAGGTTCCTGGAGTTATTATTTGCAATCCAGACTATTTAAAGCAACCAAGAAAGTCCCTACAATGGATGAGTCAGGCTGAGCTCTGGGTTCATACTGTCTCAACTCTTACTGGTACTATTATAAAGGCAATAAATCTCTTGAAGGTCTCAAGTTTTGCTTACAAAATTTAACTCTGAAAATAGAGACAACAGCTAGTGCTGATGACAGAAATGAACAGTAACCGATGATGTTATAAAAAATGAAAAGCAGTTTATAAAAGTATCTACAAGAGAGCCTAAGCTACTATTTCAAATATGCACTTTAGGGGCCCTGGGTGGCTCAGTCGGTTAATCATCTGACTTTGGCTCAAGTCATGATCTCAAGGTCCATGAGTTCATGAACCTCGCATTGGGCTCTGTGCTGGCAGCTCAGAGCCTAGAGCCTGCTTCAGATTCCGTGTCTCCCCCTCTCTCTGCCCCTCCCCCACTCATGCAGTCTCTCTCTCTCTCTCACAAAGATTAATTTTAAAATAATAAATAAATAAATAAATAAATAAATAAATAAATAAATAAAGTGCTTTATTAAGGAAGTATGTACTAATAATATTAATGACTTTTTAAATTCTGAGACTATCCTATGTTTTAATACCTAGAATGAATGTCTCGGGTCACATTTCCTCATGAATGTCAAGAAACATACATATTTTCAGGCTCAAAGTACATTCAAATACATAGGTTGGAGCCTCAGCAGCTTACAAGAACAGGCTCCCCTATATTGTATATAATTTCATTTCTGGTGTAATGAAAACTGTAAGTCCAACCAGACTTGTAGCTTTCATTCATTCACTGAACCAACACTTACTGAGCCTTCCCGAGAAGTCAGACAGTGCAGGAGGCTCTGGGAATAGCAGACAGGAAGCAATACACGCGGACAGCCACTGATAAAATGAATACGAACAATGGAAGGTAACAGTACTTGTGGCTTCCCCACTCGTCTAAATATATTCTTTCTCGAATAGCTTCAGATTTATGCCTCAGTTTACCAAGAAGTCATTTTTCTCAATTGTAACAGGATAATGTTATCATCATGACTAAGTCAGTGTGGTTGACTTCAACCTAGCTTCTTGGTCACAGATACTGCCTGACTAGATAAAGTTAAGGGTTATCATCAAGAAAGTGCAAAAGCAGGGGCGCCTGGGTGGCTCAGTCAGTTGAGCATCTGACTTCAGCTCAAGTCATGATCTCGCGGTCTGTGAGTTCGAGCCCCGCATCGGACTCTGTGCTGACAGCTCGGAGCCTGGAGCCTGCTTCAGATTCTGTGTCTCCCTCTCTGTCTCTCCCCCACTCATGCTCTGTCACTCTCTCCGTCAAAAATAAATAAACATTAAAAAAAAAAAAAAAGTGCAAAAGCAGAGCTCATTGAGAAACATTTTGGACAGTGCCTTAAGATTACAAAATCAGAAATATCACTTTGATTTTTAAGTGGCATATCAAAACCTACTTCTTCAACATGAAAAAACATAATTCATTCGATCTTTCTCTTTATAAACTAAAACTTCATCCAAACATAATGACAATATACAACTACTAACATTTTATCGTGATGAAAAGCTATGCTTTTATTTCTGAATGCACAAACCTTTCCTCAAGCACAGGAGTAACTTACTTTGTTGACAGAGGTGTGTGATGTCAAGGATGAGGTGCAAACACATTACGCACAATCTGATGTGCTACAGTAGCCCGTGCGCGTAGATGGCTCTCATTCTCCTCGCCTACTGTCCTCACTCTAGTCCTCCCTCCCTAGTTTGAGAAAGGGAAGCTTCAGTCCTCCCAGAGCAGCGCTGATGTATTTATAATAATGCACTAGTGCAGGGAGAACTTTCTACTTCCCAGCATAGGAGGAAAAAAAAGTCGACCTTAGAAAAAGGAAATTACAGCAACTGAAAACAGAAACGCTGGCATAAGAGACAGGTGAGTTCAGATTCTGGGCCTAGCACTGTAACCTCGGTCACATTTTTTAATCTACTTAAGCTTTAGTTTCCTCAACAGTAAGACACCAATAAATAGTAACCTTTATATTTTCCTACTATGAATAAAAGCACACTTAGATTTGGCGTCAGAGGCATGGGTTTAAATCCCAGTTATATTCCCTAATTCTACAACATTAGGGAAGAATACAGTCTGTGAGCCTCCGTTTCTTCATTAGTAAAAAACCAGATGAAAATATCTGCTTGACAACCGACAGAATCGGAGAAGATAACTGCAAATGACATATCAGGTAAAGGGTTAGTATCCAAAACCTATAAAGAACTTATCAAACTCAACACCCAAAAAACAAATAATCCAGTGAAGAAATGGGCAAAAGACATGAATAGACACTTTTCCAAAGAAGACATCAAGATGGCTAGCAGACACATGAAAAGATGGTCAACACCACCCATCATCAGGGAAATATAAATCAAAAACACACTGAGATACCACCTCACACCTGTCAGAATGGCTAAAATGAACAACTCAGGCAACAACAGAGGCTGGTGGGGATGTGTAGAAAGGGAACCCTTTTGCATTGCTGACGGGAATGCAAACTGGTGCAGCCACTCTGGAAAACAGTATTTTCCAGAGTTTTTTTCCTCAAAAAATTAAAAATAGAACTACCCGATGACCCAGCAATTGCACTACTAGGTATTTACCCAAAGGATACAGGAGTGCTGTTTCAACGGGGCACATGCACCCTAATGTTTCTAGCAGCACTATCGACAACAGCCAAAATATGGAAAGAGCCCAAATGTCCATCGACAGATAAATGGATAAAGATGTGTTGTGTGTGTGCATGTATGTGTATGCATATATGTATGTGTGTGTGTGTGTGTATATATACATATATATACATGTATATTGCTGAGTAATATTCCATTGTGTGTGTATATGTGTATATACATATATATACATATATACGTACATATATATACATATACACATACACACACACACACACACACACACACGCAATGGAATATTACTCAGCAATCACAAAGAATGAAATCTTGCCATTTGCAACAACGTGGATGGAACTAGAGTATATTATGCTAACTGAAATTAGTCAGAAAAAGACAAATATCATAGGACTTCACTCATGTGGAATTTAAGATGCAAAACAGAGGAACATAAGGGAAGGGAAGCAAAAATAATATAAAAACAGGGCGGGGACAAAACATAAGAGAGTCTTAAATACAGAGAACAAACTGAGGTTAGCTGGAGGGATTGTGGGTGGAGGGATGGGCTAAATTGGCAAAGGGCATTGAGGAGGACACTTGCTGGGATGAGCACTGGGTGTTATATGTAGGGGATGAATCACTGGATTCTACTCCTGAAATCATTACTACACTATATGCTAACTAAATTGGATGTAAGTAAATAAACAAATAAATAAATAAATAACAGGATTAAAAAAAACAGAAAATATTTGCTTTAACTTTCTCATATTTAGGAGGATCAAAGCAAAGAAAATGGCTTCTATAAATATCCTTTCCAGGGGCACCTGGGGTAGCTCAGTTAGGTGTCCAACTCTTGATTTCCGCTCAGGTCATGATCTCATGGCTCATGGGATTGAGTCCCGTGTCAGGCTCTACGCCGACAGCACAGAGCCTGCTTGGGATTCTCTCTCTCCCGCTCTCTCTCTCTCTCTGCCCCTCCCCCACTTGCAAGCTCTTTCTCAGAATAAACATTAAAAAAAAATGTAAATATCCTTTCTAACCTGTAAAGAGTTTTACAGATATAAGATAGTATTACTGATAAAATAATCTCAGGAAGCAAAATCTAAGGAAAGGGAAGGGGGAAATTACAAATAATGGCATGCATGCCCACAAATTCTCGGGGAATAAATAAGAATGAGTGCTCATTAATTTTCCATCTGTTGGTTATAACTTTTCTGTAATGGCCTAATCAACAAACAACATTCTATCATAAGGCAGAAGGTGCTAACAACCCTTACAAATAAAGCAAAAGAGAGCCAGAGGCAACTATTACTTGCCATAAATAACTCCTTATTGATGCCAAGATACTTTCCGTTTCCACAGCCAACATCAGCCACTAACGAACCACGGGGCAAAGCTTTCAAAAACTCCACCACATGTGGCCAAGGGGTATGTCTTGTGCTGCTGAAGTGCCCAGCAATCTCCTCATAGACTCGGTGGACATACTCTTGCTCCAGTTGTGAGGCTTCTCTTTCGCTCTCTGGAAATGATGGGGGGGTCGCCTTCATCTGGCTGTCACAGACCAAAGGGTAACCTAATGCAAAAATTAAGCAATAAAAACCTTTCATTTTTATCCAAGTGATTCATAAGGTATCATGTTTTCTTAAAAGAACAAGCAAATCAATGCAAATTTGGTGACGGGGGCTAAGCAGGCTCTGATTTATCAGTTTAAAAATAGGTGGTACCTAACAAGTCTAATTATATGTGCAAGGGTCTAACACACACAGAAGGGGAAAAATCCACGTGTGACAGAAATGACTGCAAGACTGCAGGCCATATAATGCAGGTGCCTATCACCACTCAGGATTAAGGGTCCTCTCATTCAGGAAAGCTTCCTGATGGGCCTGGCCCAAAAAGAAGAAATTTAGCTGAACTAACATGATGTAGGGTTTTTCTCTTGGTGGGCAGAGGAGATAGGACTTCTGGGGCCCTCAGACTCTCAGAAAAACAAGCCCTGGGAGCAAAGTGCATCATTTGGTAATGATCACAGGCATTTAAACGAGCACTCTTTGAAACAGTTTGTATGTGTGTTCTCAGTTCTCACAGGAACATCATGAGCTGGTACTATTGCATCCACTTTACAGATGAGGCAACTGAAGCAGAGAACATCAAATAACAATCCTCAAGCAACAAAGATGGCAAGTCATAGAGCCCGAACTGCACCCAGCCGGTGGGAACACCGGAGCCCACATTCTCAGTGACTACAGGTGTCGCCTCCTTCAGTTGAATCAGCAAACTCCAAGGAGAACACCATCAAGTCAAGATGACGAAGGAAATTTAGGATACACTGTTATTCTAATTAACTGAATTCTGAAGTTGTCCTTTGTTCTCTGCAATCATGTCTAATACTCATTTTAAATCCTTGTCTGTTCTCTGCTGTCCTATAATTTCCCTTTATCTTCGGCCAAAGTCCATGATACACATCGTTTTATTCTGGAAAATAAAGGAAAAAGGAGTGGTGTCCCTGGAGAAACCACAGTCAGGACAAAGGAAATAATCAGAAATCGTGAGGCAGCTAAGAATTGGGCTGCAGTGTTCACGGCTTCAGGAATTCTCCCTGCCTATAGTTAGAGGGTGCTGAGCCTTGAGCAATGGGGCAGGAGATAGCTCTTCTATGCTAATGTGTGAGGTGGAGCTCTAAACAGTTTATGTGGACGTTTCAGAAAAGGGCAGCCACAGAAAGCCTGAGGGCTCTAAAACGTACATGTGAAAACAGACAGGTTACCTTATCTTGGTCACATCAGAATCCGACACAATATACATTAGAATTATCCCAAACTGATCTTAGGAACATTTTTGTTCTCTTGGAAATTATAAACATCTAAGTTAGCTAAAGGGAGGAGCAACCCTTATCCTTAAAAACCCACACATTTTGACAAAGAGTGTCTAAAAGATGGCCTTGAACGTGAAAATCATCTGTAAACTGAATATACATTCAGAGCTTCTACAATACGCCTTACATTTAATTAATGTCCACAACAAAGAAACATTTGCATAAGAAAACCGGCTTGTCTTTCCAACTAGACTTCAGTTCCTGGAGAACAAGAGCCATGCTTTATTTGTCAGTATCTTATAAAACTACTGGCAGTTTAGACGCTCAACAAATACTAAATAAGCTTTTTTTTAATTGATAAAAATTTTGATGTTTTAAGGTAGCAATGACACTTTTAGCAAAAGAAACAAAAATCTGAAGTTTCACTAGATATCATATATAGCAATTTCAAGTTTTCTAACAGATACTATTTACAAAATGAAAGGGCTTTTTATTCACTGGGTCTAAGAAATACAGGTCATGATGTACTTGTATAGATAAGTAGAAATAACATACTCCTGACATGTTTTTGAGCACTTCTTTTATTCCCTTCTAGATTTCCAAACTGACCAAAACACAAACCACTGTTTATCCCCCTAGAGTTACCTACTTACTAAGGAACAATCTGTCATCTCTAACTTCCTCACTGGGTTAATGAGAAGTAATTTAGAAACAAGACAAGCTGTTTCCAATAAAAACTATTTTTGTATAAGTGATATTTTAATGTCCTACAAGTGTGACTCCAATAAATAAAATATTTATTCGGCATCCAACTATGCTCAATTACTAAATTTAGGAAAAATAAAGATGAATAAAATGCAGTCCCTGCCTTCAAGGAATATAAACTCTAATGGGGATGGGTTAAGAAAAGTCTACATTAAGTACAACACTAAGCAAAATATGGAAAATACCCTTAGTGAAGTTAAGACCGAGCTCTCCTTGGTTCTAATGGGACTTTAAAAGATTTTTACACTTGATTTACTCCATTGTACAGTGGAACCAAAATTATATACTTACTACAATTACAAGGTGTTTGCCTCACTTTCCTAAATGTAAATGATGTCCTTATTCCCCTCTTGCTTAAAGTTAAGTCTCCAACATCACTGGTGATAATTCCACTTTTGTGACCCTTGGATGCTTGAACAGTATCAAATTTTCTGGGTGTGATTCTAAAAACGACAGTCAAAATAATTTATTTAACACTGCATTCATAAAAGTATTTCAGGTCCTTTTAAAAACAGTAAGGGAACAGAGCAAATTTAGAAGAATTTATTGCAAATATCTACTGGATTTCCTGAATTGTTAAGCATTGTAGAGAAAACAAAAAATAGAAGTCTCTATCTTTTAAAAAGTTATCCTCAGGGTAATCATATTAAAAGAATGTACAACTAACAAATTATTCAAGAGATACAAACAGAGTAACTAATATTTAATTAATACCAATTATGAGAGAAAAAAATAAGGAACAGATGGAGCAAAGAGGAAACAAACAGTAAAAAAAAAAACCAAAAACAACAAAAAAACCCCATTTAAATCCAATCAACAATTACGTCAAATGTAAAAGGACTAACATATCCAGCTAAACAAAGAATGTCAAACTGGATTAAAAAAATAAAGTCCAACTCTATGTCAATTATAAGAGATGCATACCTTAAAATAAGGACAGATAATGGTTGAAAAGAAAGACTGAAAAACAGGATAGAACAGCACTTTCAACAGTAGCCAAATTATGGAAAGAGCCTAAATATCCATCAACTGATGAATGGATAAAGAAATTGTGGTTTATATACACAATGGAATACTATGTGGCAATGAGAAAAAATGAAATCTGGCCATTTGCAGCAACGGGGATGGAACTGCAGGGTATTATGCTAAGGGAAGTAAGTCAGGCAGAGAAAGATACCATATGTTCTCACTCATATGTGGATCCTGAGAAACTTAACAGAAGACCATGGAGGGGAAGGGGAAAAAAAAAAAGTTAGAGAGGGAGGGAGCCAAAACATAAGAGACTCCCAAAAACTGAGAACAATCTGAGGGTTGATGGCTATGGGGGGTGGGGGGGGGGGGGAGGCTGGGTGACGGGTATTGAAGAGGGCACCTGTTGGGATAAGCATTGGGTGTTGTATGAAACCACTTGACAATAAATTTCCATATTAAAAATTTGTTTTAAATGTCTTTTTCCACCCCTGAATTATACTGGGGTCTTTGTCAAAAATCGATCTTATATATGTGGATGTATTCTGCCCCAATGGTCTGTCTATACACCAACACTACACTCTTTTTTGATTATGTAGTTTGCAAATTTTAAAAAACTGCAAAATAAATTCCAAAACTGTTCTGCCTGTTTCAAGATTGTTTCGATTATTCTGTCTTTCCATTCTTTATAAATTTTGAATCTGCTCATCAGCTTATATGTTTTAAGATTTTAACTGGAATTACACTGGAAAAACATTAGATCAACTTGGGACAACCTCTGAACAATATTAAGTTTCTATCCATGATCATGGCATCTCTATTCCTTCGCTCTTTCTAATCTCTTTTAATTTCCTGTGCAGCAGTGTTTCATAATTTTCAGTGTATACGTGTTGTATATCTTTGTTAAGTTATTCTTAAGACTTAAAAACTTTTTTTTAAAAAAAATGTTTATTTATTCATTTTGAGAGAAAGAGTGAAGCAACCTGAGGGATGGCAGAGAGAGAATCCTGCAGGTTCAGCACTATCAGCACAATATTTCCGATGTGGGACTTGAACCCTATGGAATCGTGAAGAGAGATCATGATCTGATTAAAATCAAGAGTCAGACACTTAACTGACTGAGCCACCAGGTGTGGGTGCCCCAAGATTTAAATCTGAGGGCAAATTTTCTGCTTCTTGATTTACCCAGCGTTTTATCTCCTATAGAGGTGGGTTTTACACCAGAGAGAATGTGCGAGCCTCAAAGGTCTGAGCAAATTATACAAAGTATTAATTTTATACTTAATGTAAGATTTTCTCTTTACTAAGAGCCAGATACGCTTTTTCTACACACTCAAAAAAAGAGAAAGTTCAACTATATCATTAAAATGGATTTGATCCTGAAGAAAATAATGTATTTGGAAGCAGTTTTCGTTTTGTTACTGTTATACTGTTTCTTCCAATTTGCTTATGTTGTGAACCAGAATTTCAAAAAGGCAACAAAAGCAAAAAAATAAACAACTGGGACTATCAAACTGAAAAACCTTCTGGTGAAGGAAACCATCAACAAAAAATGAAATGGCCAAATGAAAAAAACATTTCAAATTATATTGGTAAGGGGCTAGTATCTAAAATATATATAAACAACTATACAACTCAATAGTAAAAAACAACCATTTAAAATAAGTATGGGGCGCCAGTGGCGAGAAATGGTTGTTAAGTCCACCAGCCAGGTCATCACGACATCTCAAGGTCCGAGTTCGAGTTCGCCAGGGTTTCTGGCTGATGGCTCATTGAGCCTGTTTCATTCTGTGTCTCCTCTCTCTCTGCCCCCTCCCCCCGCTCATGCTCTGTCTCTCTCTGTCGCGAAAAATAAATAAACGTTGAAAAAAATTTAAAAAATGGGCAGAGGATCTGATGGTATATTTTTCCTAAGACATACAGATGGTCAACAGGTACATGACAATGTGTTCAGGTATCACTCATCATCAGGGGAATACAAATCAAAACCACATGATATCACCTCAAACCTGTTAGAATGGCTTTTACCAAAAGATAAG